GTAGTAAAAGTAACGACTAAATCACCCAACGATAGTTAAAGAGATCTATCTGAATACAATACTATTTCTACAAACCCAAAATAATCCTGATTACTTAGACCAAGTTTTTCTATGCCTCAATCGTTGCCTTACTATTATTAGGGTTTGGTTATTATTGTTATAGTAATAGTGTTATAGCTTGAACAGTTTAAGTAGTATCAATGTGTATAGTGAGTTGTCCTATTTCGACCAGCACCTTTTCTGATACAACTCACATTTTCTTAACGTTAAGATCATTTATTGATCATTAGAATCTTTTTTATACTCTAAGTTTCTCACTCTGGCTTCATGTCTTCTAACCGTTATGTCTCATTATCTATACAATTATGCATATTTGCTAGTTTGCAACAGCAACCAAGCAAGTGTCAGTTTTAAACAAAATAGCATTATATGTACAAATATTACACAATATGTACAATATATACATCCCAAAGACTTTTTACCGATACTAGGACCCAAATAATATATATTGAAATTTTGGCTAAAAAGGTTACTTTTTTACAATATTATATTTGAAAAGCGGATATTGGTCAAAAGGTTACATTTAAAAGTAGATACGTAAAAGCCTTTAATATATTAAAAGTAGATAAAATTAGTAAGGTTTAAATAGGTTGGGGCAAGGTGCATTTGGTATAAACTTGAAAATGATCTATATGCTACATAAATTACCTTATTGATATTTACATAAACTATAAACATTACTGCATCAAAAACGTAACTCTAACTGCATCAAAAAAGTAATTCTAATACACCTTGCTTTAAACGACCCTCTAATATACTACAGATTACTGATACATATTTTTAATTTAGAAAAAATAGATATTTTTGACTGATTTATAAAAGTTAATAAAGGATCTAAATTTTGGTAAAGAGAGATTCATTATCTTGGCAGATCAAATTAAGCATATGTTAATAAAATTTGGTAGTATGAAGTACATTATTACAAAGGTTAATATCGAGAAAGTTAAAATATACTACTGAAATTGTGAAATGCATTTGGGGTAAATTTATTGTACTAAGAATACAAATTGTGAATCGATAATAATTTGGTAAGTTCATCATTAATTAAAAACAATATAAAAATTGGGTTAAAAAAATAGATTTTTAAATAGCTTTAAAAAAATACAAATTTCTAATATATAAATTGTTTCTAAAATCATGGTTTCCTTTCACACATTCATTATTTCTACAATTATGAATAAAATGCTTAGTGCTACTCGTATCAATTTTAGTTATAGAAAAAATTTGTTGACCCCCATTTTCAATTTTTAGTTTGTATATAAGACATTCTAGCTTTGTTTGATTAGTAATTTCAAACTGATCAACAATAATAAAAGCAAAACGTTAATTGCTTTTTTGATGACTAAAAATTGATTTTAGGATTGCAAAATTCTGACTATTATTTTCTATTACAGTCACAACCTCACCAACATATAAGCAATATTGGATAGTAGTATCATTAGCTTCTACTAAAAAACTAATATATTCATAAAACTGACATGAATCTTCAAATATCGTCAATTCATAATTCATATCTCAATAGGCTAATGTTAGTTCTGCAAAAAAATCATCATTATTTGGCAAAAATTCTTTAGCTTTTCGTTTTGAGATACGCTTTTTCAAATTTATTTTTGAAATATAATCAACTATTGACTGAACTAGAATAAATAGATAAATATTTAAATATACAAAAATAGAATATTTAAAATAATTCAAGAAAATCAAAATTGATAACCTTCATGTAAATTTTCGCTTGTATCAAAAAAATTTTCAGTGATAAACCAATTATTCACCAGTCATTTTGAGTGATACAAAAAGTTCATTAAAGCATTATTTGAGAAAAAAAAACAGCTATCAACATCTCTATCAAATAAATAACATATTGCAAATAATGTAGTATAATGTTTTAACAAATCAAAATCTGTATTTTTTCGATTTGCTTTTGTTACTATATTCTTGAAAATGCAATGTATCATTTCTTTCGTTCCAACACCAGTATTTAGTAAAGTTGTATAATTTCTGGCATGTTGGACCAAATGAAAGTTAACATGTAAATTTGGTAGATTTTTAAAATCTTTAAATGCCTATTTTGTAATAATGATTAGTGCAATAAATTTAATTTATTCAGGGTTTCAAAGTTAACTTATTTTGAAAATAAGTGGGAGTTTGAAATTTCAAAATTAAAGAAGCTATCTGGAGATAAATAAGCAAACATTTTTTTTTTAAAGAAAGTTTACGATCGTAAAATATATAAATAAGCTTACAAATAAAAATACAGTATATATATAATTTGATTTTGAAATAAATATGTCAATAATTTAATTTGAAATCAGAAACTTGAACCTTAGCTCTGAAACCCCCATTATATCAATTTCAGTTAAAGCAATATAAGTAATAAAATGGTTAAATTACAAAAATTAATTTTATATATACTATTCATTACCTGTGATAATAATTTTTTTCATTGTCTAAGCATTCACGTGCTTAATATAATCACCTTCCAAAAATAAATGCTTGAAGGCTATAGACATTGTTTTTGCCACCAATATCCAATATTTTAACCAATGTTTCATAGCCAAATCATTTCGTGAAAGTTCTATTTGTTGTTGAAACAAAGTAAGATCAGTTTTTTTAAAATGTTGAGGCTTTAAGAGCCTATTAAAAATAAAAGGAACTATCATAGCCAATTGTAAACAGTCTGACATCATGAAACTATCAATGTGAGAGATTGGATTTGGCAATTTTTGCCAGTTTTTTGGATAATCGAATGACTTCCAAACTACGATAAATGCCAATTTTTCCTCTGAAGAAAGTGTATTGATTGTAATTTTAAGAAATCTTAATACTTTGCTAGCTATAACGTGATATATATCATGTGGTGATTGGAGATATTTTTCTCTTTTTAATTCATCAAGTATTAAAGATTTGATACGCAATCCATATTCTGCGGCAATTTCCTTACATCTAGTAATTGTTGGTGCTGCTGAAATTTCATCAAATTGAATATTTGTAAGATAGTGATAATGAGAAATTAAGGACAAATTGATATTGTCTGATGTCTAAGAATCTTTTGTTGTATTACAAGTATAACATCCTCTTGTAGCACCATGTCATTTAACTCCAGCCAGATCATTGCCTTGTGCAAATCTGCTATTACGTCCCCAAGGCTTGCAATTACAAGACTTTCACTTCTTTCTACATCCATTATCTTTCCTTTCTCTATTTGTTTCATCTCAGAAATAAAAAGTTCAATAAATTCATCAAATTTGCCTTCAAACG